ACCAGGTTGTAGTGTATCTGATTTACATACCTAAAACGGTGGGATACCGTATTATGCTTTCAGGGTGGGAGACTGTGGGCTAGCTCAGAGGTTGTTAGAAAATAACTTTTTCTTTTTCTTTTTATGAAATAGTGTTAGTTTAGTTCCAATATGGATTGGGCTTTATCAATCACCTACCAGGTTGTAGTGTATCTGATTTACATACCTAAAACGGTGGGATACTGTGGGCTAGATCAATCACCTACCAGGTTGTAGTGTATCTGATTTATCTACCAGGTTGTAGTCATTTTTTAAAATTATTTTTCACAAAATATCCCAAAATTAAGTTTTTTCCAAAACTAGCCATCGAAACCACGCCTGCGGTTTCATCGAGCTATCCACGAAATCACGAGTCATTAGCGGTTTCATATTTATTATAAAAAAACGGATGGCCATTTCGTCCATACATGAAATCGCAGATGGCATAAGGCCATCTGTATTTTCCTCTCATCTCACCTGCGATTTTATCATTTTCTTTTTGTAATATGACATTCGAACATATTTGGTTCATTTTCATGACATATCGGAAGCTTATTGACTTAATATGTATTTTTCTTAATTTTTATGTAACCTGTTGCCATTTTGCTCCTGGTTTTAGGCCAAAATTTTTTATTTTCCGTACTTGGTATGTATTTTTCTTAATTTTATTATGTAATGTGTTGCTATTTTGCTCCTGGTTTTAGGCCACAAATTTTTTATTTTACAAACATATGCTTTGTGTTTGAAGAAATTCTAAATGGTGTGATTAGGTCTAAGTTTTGTTTTGGACAGTGGTGGAGCTAGAAATTTTTATATGTGGGTACAAACATTATCAATAAATATTCTATGTAGTTATCATATTCGAGACATTAAAAAACATGATATAATCTCTTTAGCTAGGGGTACAATAACATAAAACATGATTACAAATAAAAAAATTTATATACATAAAACAATTTTTTTGGGGATGTTATAGTACCTCCAACGCCCCATGTAGCTCCGCCACCGGTTTTGGATGTAAGTAGATGCAATTCTTTTTCCCATTTCTGATAACCATTCGCTTAATATTGTTGGTTTAAACTTCCAACCAAATTATATTGAGCCAATTAGTTGCTTATTCTTTTAAAGTTTATGGTTTGTATTTTTATATATATAGAAGGTTGATATCATCTCACCTGCGATTTCAGTTTTTTTTAATATGATATTCAGCCTATGTATTCAAACAAAATACTCCTACATGATTAGGGGAAATCACATAAGATCAAAACCGCAAAAAAGACATACAAAATAAAAAAAAATGAACAAAACTGTAGATGACATGACAATCTAGGAATATACAGTGTTGATGCACATTATGTGCATTTAAAGATGCCATGTGTGGTTACACTTTTTTTTTTATCGAATTTCGGGCAAAAAAACATACAAAATGCTACTACATTTCAACCTATATCATCAAACAAACAAGAAAACTATACATAGGATAATTACAACATTGTTAATCATGTGCCATCAGAGATAATTTCGTATCTTTGGATGTCAAAATGAGGGTGGATTTTTTTAGGGTTTAAATATAATGAATTACTAATTGTGAAACCCATGTATTACATGAGTTAATTTAAAAAGAAAGTTAAATATAAATGTCAAAATATTTGAGCACTTTGAATTTATAAGAAAATAAAAAAAATAATGAATTATTATAATTGAAATGCTTTTTATCTTTTAAATTTAAACAAATAATTTAAATAAATAAACAAAAGAACTAATGAGCTTTAATTTGAAAATTTTGAAATTAAAAGGTAAGTTCATTAATGAAATTGATATCCTATTATTACTACATTAATTGAATTTAATAAAATAGAAAAACTAATAAAATGACACGTGGAAAAAAAATTAATTCAAAATAACCACAAAATAACATTTGACAAATTGAATGAGAATGTGACATGTGACAAAAAAACATTCATTTATTAGAGTAGATTGGGCCACGAAACCGTAGATGGACCATGGTTTCGCAACCCATTCGACGAAATCGTTTGTGTGTTTGTATTATCTATGGTTGCGATAGCTATTTTTGAAAAAAACCCTGATTTTTCAATAGCTATTTTTGTAAATTCTTCTTGTATATATGTTAGCTAATATTGTTGGAGATTAAGCAATAAATGTGTAATTTACGTTATTAGACAAAATGACACTAAGTGAAAAGAATGTAACTTATGTTATGATACTAAACCATTGTCCTCAACTCTCATCACCTATCCTATTTTGAAATAAAAAATATTAATAAAATTATTAAAAACTTCGGATATCGGATATCCAAAAATTTAGAAAATAAATATCTGAACCCAAATCCGAAAATTCCAATTCAGAATTTCGGATATCCAAAATTTCGGATTATTTCACTTCGGATTTTCAGATACAAATATTTAAACAATCTCTAATTAAAAGTGTGTTCGGCAAAAATAGCTGGTAGTTGAAAGTTGGAGACTGTAACTTTTATTTATATATGAGTGTTCAGAAAAAAATAGTTGGAAACTTTTAAAACATGTAAAATTACATAAAAGGATTGATCTAAAGTACGACATTGTTTTTTTTATTTAAAAAATGATAAATAAGTTAAGTTAAATTAAACTATAAATGAAACTAACAAAACTGAAGGTCAAATTTAAAGGCAAAAGAGATAAACATGTTTTCACATAGTTTCGATTTCACCTTTAGAGGTGGAGGTGATATATGTGACAGAGGTGGCAACGATGGGGTCAGTTGGTGGTAGAGGTTGTGGTGGCGGTGGCGGTGGCGGTGGCGGTGGTGGTGGTGGGGAAAAAAGGAATGAGCGGCGCTAAATAATCATTTATGATTATAACTCTCCCGCCATGCAGATATGTCGGAGCGACAAATGAGAAATATGTTGCTGATGTTGAATATCAAGATCTCTATTTTTTCGGAATCTCAACGGAACCCTACTTTTTAAGTATCATTTATCTTTAAATATATCAATTAAACTAATAAATAGTAAGATAATAGTCTAAAATATATGTATAATAATGTCTTATGTATAATATATTACTGACAATTAAGTTTTTTGCTAGTATGTCAAACATAACATTTAGTGTAACTTAATAGATTGTTTTTGGAGAGGATCTTGAAATGATTTGGGTGAAAGTAATAGACATGATGTTGATGGTAATGTTGGTGAAAGTAGTGGAACACAACGTGGAATCTACGGATAGCGAGGATGATGAAATGGTGGATCATAATTATGAATTTAATTCTAATGAGGATGATGAATACAATTAATGGATCATTTGTCGGACAGTAAGGGTGGAGTTGTTGATATTAAAAGGAAATAAAATCTATCGAAGCCAAAAATGTGTTCATTACAATGTTGATCAATCATGCCACAATCAATCAATCCCTCATGATCACAAAACTAATAAAACTAGAAATGTGGAGGAGATAATGCATAAGTATGAACATGCCTGATGCCTCATCTTTTAGATATGTGTAATTCACTAATAGCGGATGCTAAAAGATTGCCACTTGTAGTAACTTTGATCATTGCTAACGTTGTCTACTTTGTGGTCATAGTAAAATTGCACTTAAATATGGCTTAAAAGGGTATAAAGTAAATGAACACTTGAGGACTTGTAGAAACATTTCGCCAAACAACTATCTTATTCCTACACAAAAAACAGTAAGGCAACTTGCATAAATAGCCATTAAAGAAAACGAAAGGAAATGTAATTAAATTCATTTTGTAAAAGATTAGAAGATTGAAATTCGGCATGTATTGAATATATCCAAAGTGTGGTTGACAATTGACATCGAAGCCACTAACATACATGCCTTTAAACTCATTTCTTTAGTGATTATGCCACACATCATCCCTCAAATGATTGGGAATTTCATTTTCTCCTATATTGCTCTTTCCTTTTTATATATTTCTTCTAATATAAAATATGATTTACTTCTAACAATTTTTTTTTTATCTTATTATTATTATTATTATTATTATTATTATTATTTATGATTTTACAAGGTCCCAAGTCAACTACCTTGCATTTCCATATACGGCATTAATCATCATGTAAAAATATATAATGGATTTGATTAATGCCGCCCATTTTTTTGTAAAGAATGTGTTGGTGGTCTTCAATCATTCCCAAATGGCCAAATGCATTCATTTGGTATTCCACTAATGTCCATTTATTAAACAATCCCTAAAGAATATATTCAACAATCATTAGTTTATTACTATAATATACCATTGCATTATTATTATTATTGCACAACACACTTTTTCAAACTAAGGCTAGATGCCAAAAACAACATACATACTTTCATATATTTATGTACTATAAAAATGGTAAGCCCCATCATCGAACCCTAACAGTATTTTTAGTGTACCAAAGTTTGAACCCTAAAACTTCTGTATGAAATTCTACACCTCAAACAAAAGGGTTTCATTTATTTTATTACGACACTCAATTTTCAACTTTTTTTTTATTTAATATGACATTTTATTTTGAAATAAGTTAAAGGTAAAAACTCACCCCAAACCCATCATTTGGAAGTAAATATTGAAGCTATCAGTATTTTTTGACGTACTAGATTTTGAAATATAATTTTTTTAGAAATTCTACACCTCAATCATCAAACTTACATCAATTGTGAGATGCTATAATAAGCAAATTAATGAAAATAAGTTGTTATTTCTTGCATTTTACCCTTCAAATTATCCTCTCAAATCTCACATTTGCCATAAAAATCTTGTTATGCCACTAAAACTATATCTTTGCCTAACAAGAATTAAACACCCCTACATGTATCAATAGTCTCAAATACGACAATATAACCCTGCAATATCAGGGTCGTTTTTCTATACATAAACATGAATTATTGACATTAATAACATCTCATATAAAAATTAAAAAACCACATTAATAATAATAATAATAATAATAAATATAAATAATAATAATAAACACCATTCCATTTCTGTTCGTGTAACCACTCTCATCTTCATGCATCTCTCTCTCATCAAACCATGTTTCATCTTATGCCCTTGCATCCACACATTTTCACAGATCCTCTCAATGGCACAGAATCATAATCTTCTTCTTCTACTTCATAGAAAATTACCAAAATACCCCCCCGAAAGACTTGTTATAGGATGCTAACAGGTTCATCATCTGATGGGTGTAAACACTCTTCTGGATTGGCATAAAAGTAATCTTCTTCTTTGGGTTTATCTGAAATAACCAATCTTTTTGTGGGATTTCCCATTCTTTCTTGATGAACTTGTTTTACAGAAATGGAAAATTCATCCCAATTTAAAATTCCATTTGTGTATTTGTCTATTAAATCCACCAAAACTCTCCTATCCAATAGAATTGTCTTCTTGAATCCCAAAAATCTGAAAATCATTTTCACATAATTAATTAGCTTCATTTCAATTCCAAGATAGTGTTTTGTTTGCAACAAAGGAATGGAATATGATATGTTATAAATAAATTCACAATTATGAATTAGTTATATATATATATATATATATATATATATATATATATATATATATATATTCTTTAACACCACTTCCATTTGTGTTTTTAAAAAATTTCAAAACTTTAATTTATTAATTTTTACTTTACAAAAGTAGTAGAAGTATTTTTTAATATTATAATTCTATTTCAAGATTTCATGGTATGTGATCTTACATTTTTTTGTTAACAATTTTATTAAATCATAGATTTTTTTTTTGTTCTTAGCTACTTGAAATACATACAATGGGTTTGATAAAGTCTCATGATTTTGGGAAAATCACATAATCTGTCATTTCCTGTTAAAAAAAAAAAAAAAGACTTTTTCATTAATTTGGACAAAATATTAAATAATCGGGACTTTTCTGTTCAAAAAAAAACTTTTAGGACTTTATCAAAAATTTTCCCAAAATAACGAGGCTTTTCTGCATAAAACCCTACATATAATATATATTTTAGAGGACATGAGATGTTTATATGCAATTTATGTAACGATATATCTTTATCTGATTAAAGTTTATTATTCCAAAATAACATTTTTTTTCTTTACTTATCAATTTAATTTTTTATTACCTTCGATGCCCTTCCACAACTTTAGCCATGTTTCCATCATAAGTAGGCACAAAAATATCACTCTCAAGTGCCACAAGATAATCCAATGCTGCCATTTGAGATGAATGATTCTGAAAATACTGAAGATCATCTGCCCCTAAAAGTGTCTCCTTTCTCACCTATTTTAATTAACAAACACATTCCTTATATACCACATTTTCTTGAAAACTAGGCAAAAAATTCAAGATTCTTAAAAAAAAAACTCACCAGTTTTGGGAATGCATCTTGAAGACTATCCATTCTTCTTTTCCCTCCATATATTTCACCAGCAGCAATGTAAATCTGGATATCACGATCAATATCAAGTGCCTTAAGTGTAAGGGCAGTTTCTTCAGGAGTCAAAGGGCATAACCCGTCTTTTCTTTTTAAATCAGAATTTATGATCTTTTCTTTCCACCATGGATATGCATATCTCATTCGTGTTAACTCTTCTATCTCTTCATTATTGCATCCTTGTGTACACCCAGAGAAAGCCAACATGTCCATTTCGTATCTCAAATGAAGCACTAAAAAAGGTCCGTTTTTTCTCAAAAGATTGACTACACGTTTTCCCAATTCTTCTATTTGTGTTGTGAATCTTAAAGCACCAAAGTTTACTCGACACCTCAGCTTTTGGAGTTCTAAGGGTTGATTGTTGTTGGCTAATCGAGCATCTGTTCTATTCAAATGCACAACTTTGTATTTTTTGAATCAATGGAAGAATCTACACACAATGAGAATAAAAGTATAATTAAACTGTATACAGATTACAGAATTAAAAGAAAGAATACAGAGTTACAGAGTTACAGAGATAAGATATTACCTGGTTATGGTAGTAGGAAATATCAGACCAGCTAACAGGAGGCATGGTGTGCACAATTCCCAATTCGACCCTCTTTTTAAGCCTTGGTGGAAGCTGTTTAAGAACACGTACTTCATCTCTTAAGGATGTGATGAAATGATCAACATCAAAAATGTCCTCAAACTCACTGAATTTCAAGAATTAGAAGAATTAGAATCGAGATATGTGAATTCCAATATGTAGGGAAGATGGATTATGTAATATGTATAAGTTGAGTATATAATATACCTTGGATCAGACCAGAAAGAAGTTTTATCAAGCTCGGGGACTATAAGTGTAACATTTAAATATCTAGCAATTGCAACCATGTCGCAAATCTGTATGATTATTGAAAAAATTGTCAAGATAGTGATTGGGTTGTTTGATCTGATTTTGTGAGTTGAAAGGTGTGAAGAGAATACTCACAGCAGAACGCATTTGATTGAGTCCTCCATTACATGAAACGACTAAGTAACCGTTGTTCTTGTAGACCCCTACATGAAAGAAAATGTCAAATTCATGACTGAAGAACAGTACATAAAAATCATGTGTGTTATTTGTTCACGGGATTCTTTCATCATCATTATTGAAGAAATCTAAACCCACCCTGTATTGAATTTGGAAAATCCTTGATAGATAATCATAATTACGTATAATACATGTAAACAAATGTTGAATCGATCGTACAATCATCGCTGTAACAGCAAATAATGAGAAAAAAGAAGAAACAGAGACAAGAGAAGAAAGAACTCACTCTTGGGTGGAAGGACTCTGGCTGGAACAGTGGGCAACAACTTTAGATCTAAAGCAGAAGCAGAATGTGAATCTTGAGTAAAGCAAGAAGGCCAACCTTTCAAAACCCTAGGTCCCCATGTACCCCCTAATGCTGTAAGCTGAACGAAGCATGTCCACAACAACACAGTCGTCGTTGCCCTAATTAACCACAGCTTCATTCTCGGAGACCTAGCATTCACCATTGAACTTTTTAACTTTTCAACTCTACAAACTCCCAAGCTCTTCAACCCCATTGTACCGATTGAAAACCTCTTCTTCTGCTTCATCTTATCTCTATCGTCTACCTTGCACATCTCTCTCATACATCCACAACTCAAACACTGATTATTTTAGTACCAAAAGAAGGATCTGGATTGATGAAGATAACCGCTAAATTGTCGCCGCCGGAACGATATGAATAGGATGTAATATCGAGATCCGAATTTTGTAGGGAACGCAATTATGGCGGATCCAAACTACAATTTAATGGCAGACTTGTCTACCATGAAATAAGCAAGTTTTGCAAGTTTTTCGGTGATATTAATTCTCAGCAAAATGCACCGTTTTTTCTCTCATCTAATTGCACATAATTACTAGGTTTTCAGGGAACCATTTATGGACAAAATTATACAGAAATAAAAAACAGCGTTTATTTCACAAGCGCATTGAATTTTTCTACAATCCTCAACCAGATTTTAGAATCTACCGACAAAGAGCATTTGAAAGAAGTCGATTCTGGTTTCAACCGGAGAGATGGAAATATAAGCCAAATGGTAGTGGGGCGGCGGTTCTGCGGCAATAGATGAGAAGTTCGCCGGAATGATGATGTGTCGGTGGCCGGCAAATGAGAAAAGATGAGATGGAAAGAGCAGAGAGAACACAAAGTGGGGTTTGTAGCTTGTATTGAGATTTGTGATGATGCACAGGTATCCATGGGAACTTATGTACACTCGCTAAAATCCATACTCTTTTTGTTCAATAATAATAATATAATACATAATTATTTTAAAAAGAATAATTTATTAGAAATGAAATTAAATTAAAATGCTTTATCAACTAAACAAAAGTTGTTGGCTAAGGTTTTTAATTTTTATGCCACCCCAATAAATATCATGTCATCTTAATAAAATTAAAAAGTTAAAATACCTTTATAATAGAAAAAAGTTATTAAGGTTTTAATAATTAAAAATTATAAATATGATATATACACTCATGAAAATGATTAAACAAATTTTTTGATTTAGTTTTTTATTGGTTGAAAGCTATAGACCACATTAAAATATTGAAAAACCATTCTTTTACAAAATTTGATCAACAAATCACTGTCAAAAAAACTATATTTGAAAAAACTCTACTGAGGAATAAAAAATTTTATTTTAAAAAGCTTTTGAAGGCTATTAGTGTGGATACTCTTAAACATCATCTCCTACTCATCTTTTAATTTTTTTAATCAATATTAATAAAAATGGTACAAATAATATTTTACCTTTAACCATATATCATTTTTTTACATCAAAAATTATATCTATAGTATATATCTTTTTTGTAACTTATATTATTTGTTAAAAACACTTATCTATTAATTATTTTTTTAACAAATATGTATTATATCTTTTTATAATAATAATTGCTTAAAACGTATTATCACAAAGTTACAAAAAAAATTATTAAATAAAAATACATAAATTTGTAACACATTTAAAAAAAACATTTAATTTCTATATGAATTCCGGTTAAACTTTATTTTTATGAACAATTAATATGATTTATCCACTACGTCTATGTAAAACTTTCTTCTTTATTTAATAGATTTATACCTTAATACAAGTTATATTTTGTTTTAAAATATGATTTAAGATATAGCATGATGTTACAAATATTAATTATTATATGTAATTTATAAGCATGATGTTACAAATATTAATTATTATATGTAGTTTATAACTAGTTAATTAAAATAAATTGGAAATGTATAAACTTAAAATGATAAGAGACTAGAATTATCAAAAGAAAACTTCCAATTTATTTTTGGAAATGATAGTATTCCTACATATTTGGAATAATACTATGTATTTAACTGTAAAGTTGTTCGGTATGGTACTCACCTACCACACTCCATCTTCTCTCCACCAATCTTAGAGGAGATGATGTTCGTCCAGAACCACGGCGTCGTGAGGCCAAGAAAGAAAGTAGAGGAAATAATAGAGAAAGAAAAAGAGAACGGGGCGTTGTGAAACATCCAAAAATTATGACCCAAAAATTTCATTTTTGATTTAAGTAAAAACAGTTATTCCAAACATTGTTTATACATCCCAAACAAATAAAAGTGTCAAACATCATGAAAATCAGAGTATGTCCCACAAACAAAATCCATATGGTGTGTGCGATGCAATCAACTCGAGCTCTTCCCCTTGGAACCGGAGGTACCTGAAACATAAACTAAAAACCGTAAGCACAAAGCTTAGTGAGTTCCCCAAGATACTACATACTAATCATATCACATAACGGGCTCCACCCAAAGAGATACGGGCCCCGCCCACACTCGCATAATGGGCCCCGCCTAATGAGATACGGTCCCCTCCCACACTCGTATAACGGGCCCCGTCTAATGAAATGGGCCCCGCCCACACTCGCATAACGGGCCCCGTGTAACGCCCACGGATTCAGGATAGTCAATTTAGAGACAATGAGCGTCAAAAATGACTTTTTGATTGAAGATTATTTAGAATAAATAATCTTAACTAAGTTATAGTATATGTCACAAGGGTTCCGTACATATAAAGAACGCTGAAATCCGAGTTATAACGAAGAAGTTATGACCTGTCGAAGTTTTACGGCAAAACTGAAACGACACCGGGAATCGTAAAAAGTGAGTTTGTGATAAAATACTTTTTAGCCTTAGCGATCTAAACTAAAGTCGTAGTATACGTTAAACCGAGAGCGTGAATAAAAAGAACGTCTAAATTTGACTTCGTATGATGAAGTTATGATTTTTCTAAGATTTAACATAGTAGTGCATAACCCGGAATTCGAATTTTAGATCGATTGATTTTTAGCCGACACAACCTAAATGAGAATTGAAGATCTCATTAATAGGAGTTCAACGATAAAAATACAGTAAAAAATGGAGTCCGTATGTAGAAGTTATGAATTTTACACTGTCTTTAAACGATGTAATCTTCTCATACTGTTAAATTTAAAATCGGTCGAGAATTAGCAGATGGAGTCAAAAGGAGAGTTGTAGATCTTGTCAATACCTACGGGTGGATATAAAGAACGTCGCAAACGGAGCTCGTATGCGAAAGTTACGGAATTTAGAAGTCGGAAGGGTGTTGTTGCGAAAGGGGTGACGTGGCACATTATAGGCCACCACTTATCCTCCACGTTTTTCCACCAGAATGGTGACACTTGGCACCTAATCGACGAGTTAGAGGCCCAGAACTCGTCGATTTGAGCCAATTTACAGCTTATAAATACCATGCGAGGGTCTCCATAATTCTCACACCAAAAACTCATTCTTTCTCTCTCTAACTTCTCTCTAAGCCCTCCCAAGCCCTAGTAACTTCTAAGTGTTAGACGAAAGCCCCAGAGCGCACGAATGATCCTATAAAAAGAGCTTTTCGGCTCGGAAACTCTGCCCCCGCAGAGCCCGGTTCCTAGCCAAACCTCCTAGTAAGTGAGTTATGCTTACCCTACTTCAAGTATAGCTTATGTTTAAGTTCAATATCGTTATGATGAACTTATAAAAAATAAATATATTATAAAATATAATATACAAAGTGTTATTATAATATCTTTTAACTACTCGCGGTACGGGGAATCTGGTTTGAAGGGTCGCATAGGGTTGTTGGATTTCAGAAGTGCTATAATGCCAAAATGGTCCTGTCCTTCGGTGTTTCATGTTTGGCCCCTGTCTATACATAGTGGTTGAAAAAGTATTGTTTAACACTTATAAAACAATATCACTCGTAAATAGTCGCAATAAATATTAGACTAAAATCTAGCGGTAATGATACTAGGTTTCGTCGAAGGAAAATAGAATCGTTAGAAGCGAAGCGTTGCCCGAGTTTGGAATCATCACTTTAATAAGTGAGTGCATAGTTACTTTCATCTTACACATAGATATGAAATATTTAATATAAATTACGTGCTATGTGTGCATATTATTTGTGTTCCCAATATTTGTGTTGGATGAACAATTTATACATGTTTTAATGATTTCAACTGTATATGTATTTTATATCCACGAATATGTTGGGTAGAACATGGGTAGATGAATGATGAGGGGTGAAAGATGATATAGATGAATATTGGCAGCTGCGCCACAACCTATAGATGTTTTTTTTTGAACTACAATGTACTCTAAACATCCTAGTAGCTACGCCTAAAGGATAATATTGGTAGCTGAGCCTAATAGAGAACATCATAATCCTGACAGTTTTCCCTAAACGATAATATCGACAGCTGTGCCTAATAGAGAACGTCATAATCCTGGCAGCTGTGCCCAAATGATAATATTGACAGTTGTGACTAATAGATAACATTGGCAGCTGTGTCATAGGCAACGATGGACTTTGTGCCTATTCCTTAGGAATGAATGAGTGAATGCTAGATGATTCTTAGGGTAGATCCTTAAGAAATAAAGAAGATAATGGGGATGGGTAATTGGGATAATCGTTTGATGATAAAACATAATAACTTTATTATTGTGGGTTGAAAACCCTATGTACTCACCGGGTTTTCCAACCTAACCCACTCAGTTTATTGGTATCACAGGTGTCGATATGAAGTTACATTACACTGAGAGATTAAAGGAGATGTAAATCACTAGTGTAAATGAATGTAAGGTCTGTTTATGCTTATGTTTCTGTATTGACGATGACATCCCAATGTTTTTATATAAACAAATACATTTCTTCGGAAATGCTTTGATAATATAATTTATCATGTTTTTCTGGGAAAAAATTTCGCAATATTATTCTTTAAAATGAATACTCTGATTTTCAAATAAGCATAAATAAAAATTTTAAAATGACCGTGAAATTGGGGATGTCACACCCCGCCCAATGAATCATACATATACAAACACATACAAGTATCAAAAAGACAACAAGTATATCAACATAATCAAACAACGGTCGGCCTTGGTGCCTTAGACCCACTAAACCCGGTGAGGAAAACTCACCTCGAAAGGCTGAATGAAACGAATGATCCTTGACTGCTGGTCCTACAGCTCCCCGAGCTATCAATTGCCAAAAACAACTAATTAACATTTGGGATTTACAATATAAACAAACATCCCTACTTGGGGTAAAAAGACTATTTTACCCCTAACATAACTTGGTCCAAGAATGAAACCCTACATCACAATCCAATGGCCCAAAAGTTAAACAATCCAATCAGACCCAATTTCTATTTGGGCCCAATCCCTTCTCATGGGCCTTAGCTAAGGCCCAATAATGCTCCCCTAGCCCAAGTTTCGATTTCAGATGGCCCACTAAGGCCCAAAGCAACATTGTCCATGAAAGTAGCCCAACCGAGGCCCAAAAGACGCAAAGCCTAAATCCATTGAGTACGCGGGGTGTACTCAATTGTACGCTAAGCGTACAGGCTGCATGGCTTGTACGATGCACGTACGAGCTTGTACGCCCAACATACTCACTCATTAAGCCATACTTCCAAAAAGGTCTTAAATCATTAAGACTAAGGGTCCCAATCACATATCTGAGTCATATGAAGTGTCTTAAACCATAAAGTCATAAACTTGGTGGCTTTGCATGCCCCAAATGAGCCAAATCTCGAAATATCAAACATAACTTCCATAGAATGAACCCAAACTCATGCATGGATGGTTCAAAGCTTCAAAGATGGTAACTTTATGACTCTAGGACCAATAGAACACCAAGAGTA